CCCTGTGTTCTTGATGGTGTCAGTGAACAAAGCTCGCCCAATCTGAAGGTTTATCAGGTTAGCAATCGTACTGCGTAGGTCCAATTCCTCACCTACGGTGGATAAATAAGTCACCCTTCTCAGTGGCGTATTAGTTTCGGGCTGATTAAATATCCAGATATACCTAATTTTTTTAGGAACCTGGTATATGGACGCGGCCAATACATACAAAATGAAAGTAACAGTCCGCGAAGTTTCGTATATGCGCAGTGCAAGTTCGTCTGCTACTCGCGCAGGGGTTGCGGTGACGTTAGGACGAGGCCGAGCTCTGATTGGCTGGATTGGAAGAAAGTGAGCAGACCCCGAGGTGGCCAGTATCGAGGTCTACCCACTGCCCTTCCAATCAGAGCCAATATAAACTCGGCATTCTGACGTCATCGCAACTCCTGCAAAAGTAGCAGACGAACTTGCGCTCCGCATAGGGATTCTTTCGAAACTTTTCCCTGAATTGAGCACGAAGTCGCACATTAGGGGAGCTTCGCCGCTTCTGATATACCTTTTTTTTTTCTTTTTTGACAAAGAAGACAAGATCAAACACGAAAAGGTTCACACTTTACGCTCAACCAGCATGCGCCAGCTTTTCATCGTGGAAAGCCAAGGTTTCATGCGAACTCTTCGGGGCACCATAGTTGCCGATCGAAAGCGCGTCGTCACGGCACACCGTACACTGCATACAAATCCGAGATTTGCCACACACAAGCACTCCCCAACATTCTCAGTTCACTCAACAACACTTCCGCGTTTAAGTAAGAACCAACACTATACTTTTACGTCGAGCCTAACTTCAGCACCAAAAGTGCATGAACATGGCACTCCTCTTTTTCGAGCGTTTGCTGATGATCAGCTAAACCAATCACAAACAGAAAAAAGGACAGGATCAGACTGCATTTAGTGTGCGTGACTGGCTTTAGCCGGTGATAAGAAGCGCACAAAAACGCCGAAATATCTGACAGTAAACTTTTGGCACTTCCCGAGTGGCTCCATCGGGCTTGGGGTAAAACAAAGTAGAGGAAACTCAACTTGGTCACAACACTCCCTCATTCGAGTGGAAACCGAAACTATATAACACCAAGGTTAACTAAGCGGGCGTAATTCCATCGTCCCGGAGGGCTCTCCAGTTAGCTAGGCCATGGTTAGCTCCTCTCTCGTTTACCGGACTAACGTACTAAGCCGTGCTTAAGCCGACCTAACCTAATATCGGCTCACCTAGAAGTGGCTCTGGCACGTAAGAAAAAAAAGGCATGTTTGTCTTCTGCTTCGTGGGCTAAGCTCGGGAATGTAATCCGCAGGAACGTACCCAATGTATAAAGCACTCACATTCCCTGAAAGGTAATTCCTTTAGTTTAAGACCGAGACTCGAGTTGGATTCGTTCATTAAAGTGGCGAAGAGGGCGAGCTGGTTCATAACTGAGGAAAATAAAAGATAACATGGGAAACGCAAAGACAAAATAACAGTGACCTAGGAACATTGAGTCGCGGAAAAAGCGGTGGTCTCTGCGTGAGGCACATCGTGTTGAACCTACCCAGGCGGTGCAGACGCTCTTTTCCCTAGTAAAGCCTCTCGATGTGTTCGCGTTTGTCTTTGCAAACAGCGTCCAATTCTCCAGGGCACGAGGCCCGTGTCTCGAGCGGCCCTTGGAAGCAAATGGCAGCGCAGCACTGAAGTGAGCGGCCCTTGAAAGCAAATGACGGCGGAGCACCCTCTCGTGGCACGTGTCTTGCACGTTTTTTACAACAATGGTTGGCGGTACTATAGCTTTCCCTATACTGACAAAGTCTGGCAGATCGTCACGTGACGCGGCCGCCGAAAGTGAAAAGGTAGAGCGGCAGACAAGAGTGATGTAACGGGCGCCCCGCTGCGGCAGAGACGCCGAATCTTAATCGTTCATCTGAAATAAAACGAATTGATAAAATCTGCATAGATAATGCAGAACTAAAAGAGCAAGAGTTAGCAAACGCCTTTAATAATCATTTCGTGAACTTGCCGAGAGACAGTACTGATGAAAATGCTAGCTCATATATTGAAAACAAGAATGATCAGTCCATATTTCTTGAGCCAGTTGTAGATACGGAGGTGACGCTGACGTTTTTATCACTAAAGAACAGTGCAAGTTGTGACGCTGACGACATGCAAATAAGACCTATAAAACATGTTATAGATTTAATATCTCCCTGTTTAACGCACATCTTTAACTTGTGTTTGCAGCGCAGGGTCTTCCCTGAAAAAATGCAGATTGCCAGGGGAACTGGTTTGTATAAAAACGGTGATAAGAATGACATGGGGAATTATAGACCTATTTCAATCATATCAGTATTTTCTAAGGGCTTCGAAAAAAATCTTGCTTTCGAGACTGATGAAGGTTTCGGATAAATACAATATAATCACTCCGTCACAGTTTGGGTTTCGTAAGGGCCGATCTACGGAACTCGCTCTCCTAGAGCAAAAAGAATATATTTTTCAAAGTTTTGAGGATAAAAAAATGACCCTTGGGATTTTTATTGATTTCACCAAAGCATTTCATTATTTGAATCACAGACTCCTCATAAAAAAACTTGAAAAGTACGGGTTCCGTGGGCCCGCGTCAGCTCTCATTTCGTCATACCTTGCTCATCGTAAACAGTACGTTCATATTAACGGCTATTCTTCTGACATTAAACCAATCGTATCCGGTATCCCACAAGGCAGCATTCTGGGCCCTTTTTTGTTTAATTTATATATTAATGACATTGTCAATGTAAATAAAAGTACAAAATTTGTGATTTACGCTGACGATACAAGTCTATTTTTTAAAGGAGACTGCTGTCTTGAGCTAGCAAAGAGAGCTAATCAAACTCTACATAAGCTGGGTAGCTGGAGTCACTCTAACGCGCTAAAAATAAACGTGAACAAAACAAAGGCTGTTTTGTTTAAACCAAAAAATAAAAATACCTCTATCCCAACAGATATCGTGTTGGATACGACCAAAATTGAGGTTTTGACTCGCTTCAAAACGCTTCAAAACGGAACGAATGTCGTGGGATGACCATGTAAATCACATTTTGATAAAGTTGTCACGGGTCGTTGGCATATTATGCCGTCATCGCTCCATTCTACCACCAAGTGTTAAATTAATAATCTACAACTCTTTATTTCTCTCGCATGTACACTACTGTCATCTTGTCTGGAGAAATACTACAAATGTAAATTTAAATAGATACTTGTGCTCGAGAAAAAAATAGTACGGATTATAAGTAATGTTTCATATGATCACCCTAGCAGATCTCTTTTCGAAAGTTTGAATGTATTGAATGTGTATAGTTTATATAATTACCGTTTATGCCTAAGGCACAAGTCCGAAGTCATGAACAATATATGTCATCTTGTCAACCTAGCGTCTCTTACGAGGAGATAACCAATATATTCAACTCGCAACACAGACAACTGGAAAGTGCCAAGTTGTAGAACTACTTACGGTAAGCAGATGTTATCGAATATATTACCCGACCTACTTAATTATCTGAATACTCAAAATATGGAACTCCTAACATCAACGCCGAAAAAAATTCAATCCATTCTTATGCGTGTAATTTGATGACTTCGATCGAGCAATATTCTAGTGCCCTGACGTGTGTATAGTTATTATGTCTGTTCGCCATAAGCTCATAATTTATCAGAACTTATATAACAGTGCTTAATCATGCTCTCGACATCTCTGAATATGTATGTTTTTGATGTGATAATCATGACTTTTTATTGAATTGTTAGAGCTAAACTTGCTACATTCTGCATGTCATTGAGACGCTTCGGTTAACTGAGCTTGTATTTTTTTTTGTATTTTTGTGAACTGAGCTTGTATTTTTTTCTTTTTACTTTGTGTTCTTTGTGAGCTGCCACTGCTGCTGATTGTAGGGAGGGGGCCAGGACTCATCAAGCTGCATTTACGCAGCTTTTTTCCTCGGTCTCCTTCCATCATGAATCTGATGGAGAAATAAACATTTATTATTATTATTATTATTAAACACACTTGTCCCGAGCGATGGAATGTCCGCTCGGGATTCTCGCGTTCCCCGGGCTACCGCTAATTTTCTTGTCAGGTTTGAAAACCATGTTTCGGGTCTTCGCTGCTCCAAAAGCTGTGCGCTGAATACCAGACTCCCCAAAGAAATGCTTTGTGGTACCACATCCTCGCGCTCCAAATCTGCGACCGGGCACTCTTTGGCTCCTTCATTGAACTACCAGGATTTGTGAGTATAGAGGAGGCTATGGCGGTACTTGTAAGCGTGAATTTTATTGAAGGAATTTATTCCCCGGCCATGTCTCGCCTCGCTCGCATACGACAACCACGAGCCGCGCCTGTGCCAAGTGCTGCCATTTTCTTTTTTTTTTTTAATTTTAGTGTGCACAGTAGGGCAGCAGGGCACAGCTCGAGGAGCACGAGCTCATCGGGATTTCGACACAAGCGCCCCGTTACCTAAGTAGAAAATGTAGCGTTTCTCCTGTCTACTTCTTCCATATTAATCTTTGTGTTTTGCGTGAATTATTTTATTTTATGCAGATTCGGTTATTCGCCCAAAATACGCAAACTATTCTATACTATACTCCGCGACAACTTTTCTTGGCAATCCAGTGGAAGGTACGTCCCGCGTCCCCTCTCCCATTTTGAGTGTACGCAGGCTCTCCTCCTCTCCCCGGAAATGGGGGAGGAGGAGAATCTGCGTACACTCAAAATGGGAGAGGGGAAGCGGGACGGACCTTCCACTGCATTGCCAAGAAAAGTTGTCGCGGAGTATACCCCGCTCTAAAGAGTATAGCGGGCTCTATTACGTAGATGTCAACTGTTGACATCAAATACACTAGCTATAGGTGGCGCAAACCACCACCCAATTTACAAGAATCAGCCGTATGTATCCAACTTTGCATCCATCCTTTGCTGGATACACGAGCTTTGAAAGATGCCGTGCTTTGGAAATAGTAAACTCACGTTCGCACTTGAGGTCCGGCCCAAACCACTGGGCGGAGCTGTTGTAAAAGATGCACTTTGCCACGTCGAAGCCCCTGGCATCGTACCCGGGGAAGCAGTTGTAGCGCACCGTCGAATTGATCACAAAGTCCCGGGCACCGTCGCTCGCGTTGGTCCGCGAATGGGGCACGCTCGGGGGAGTGTTGCATGACGCTGCAAAAAAAGAAAGTTCAAAAGCAAAAAGGTTTATTAAAAAAATAACGAAAATGTTGAGAAAGTACAGACGCCTAATTTTGAAGTTGCGTTTTTTTTTTTTACTCTAAACAAGGCGGACGGAATCGCTAACCATCAAATGGCAATGTAAACTACGCGGCGGCGACTTTGTTGTGTTCCCTCATTCCAACAGCCGGACTTCAAGTGTTCCGGTTTTGAGGCCACATGTCCGCCGCCATCGCTGCGCTCCCTGGTGTGTAACTTCACCCCGAGTTCTCTGTCCCAGGCTATCGAAGCCAAAACCAACTGGTAAACAAGCTGTTTGTAGCGTCTTTCTATATTTTACGCCGCGTACTACCATAATTATAGTAAGCGTCGTTAATTACCAAATAAATAAAATATTTAAAATAAAAACGCAACCCTAATTTTAATGCAATAAATACAATGTGACGCACGTTACGTACCGCACTCGCTAAATTGTCCCTGTACAGCGTCGATTCAGTATGGCGACATCTCGAGGGCATCACGAACCTTTTCTGTCTGAACATTGACAACACCCAATTTGCTTTGTTTTGGTCTGATTACCTCGTAGACGCATTTTTTATGTTAGTTTATTTTATACCGCTGATGTTCAATATCTTAATGCTGCACTAGAGAATATTTTGTTGATTTTTGCGTGGCTGCATGCGCTCAGCCGCGGTAATGTTTGCTAGACCAAAGTCGCGCTGTTCATACACCGTAAGAATGAAACGGTGTTCACTACGGACATGATAGGACAGAAGTGTCTGCGGACACGTATCAGGCACGTTTTAAACATGCTTGGTTTCATACATGTGTTTCCTTGGAACAGGTCTAGCAAGAGTTTTTGTATGGCCGTCACACAAAGGAAATACACGCCACTCATACAATCTCTGCTTCGAACACGTCTAGCAAGAGATTTTGTATGATCAATATGAGAGCTAGGGCCGTCACACAAAGAAGATACACGTCACTCATACAGCGTCTACGGGCTGTCTTTCGTATGCCGTACGAACAGTAGTGACCAGTGGAAAGCGCGAGTTTGCACCCGGTGACGGGACGGGCCTTGTAGAGATCGATGATGTTTCTGCTCACGTTGCTTCTTGCACTCTGGCGCCCTGGAACTCCAGCGTCCGTCGCCCTGGCACATGCGCTCCTTGGGGCCGGACATCCAGAAGTTGTCGTCGCACTCGTAGTACACCCGGGCTCCGAAGTAGTCCCCGCTCACCCGGAACTGACCGTTCTCCAGCGGCTGCAGCTCGTCGCAGTTCAGGTCTGCACGGGAGGAGAACGCCATCCACGCAAGTGTTGACCGTTAAGAGTAAAAGATTGCGATTGCAGCGCTTGAGACGTGATGAGTGTGCCTTTTTTTTTCTTTGTTTAACCTTCGTTTAGCCGGTTTCGGAAGCGACACCTATAACGCAACTGATAAGCACATCCATCCGAGGAAAGACAAACAAGAGCCAATACTTTCGGCAGAAACACGAAACATTTCACATCGCTTCCCGCCGAAAGAAAATTAAAGCGAGCAGAATCCACGCGAGGCTAGAATAACCGAAGCCCGTTCCACTAGCATTTTCACGTTATTGCAGTGAGCTCGAGGAGCGCAGATACACGTTAGACATGTGACGTAGCACGGCGAGAGTTCGATGCTTCGAAGAACGCCCGCCATCAAGCTGGGACCCATTTGCCGACCTACCGCCGTTGGAGTGTGATGAAGTTACGCAGAGGTAGAGGAGACTGTTCCCGGGCTTTGATTATTCTATAGTCGCTGGCAGCTTAAGAAACGTAGGGTGGGGCCTATTATGATCATCACGCTTCTTGATTCGTAGTAGGTTCCCCGCCATTCTTATCCGCTAATGTTGCAATCTCATTGGCTGTGGAGAGATCATGAGATGCAAGCTACTCTACACGCTCTGCGTTTCTTGGTGAGTGTAGGGAATGTCAATTGAGGAAACCCCGCACTTCATATTCAACAATCAAACCCACGCCACCAATAGCACGAAATCAGCCGACGTGGTTTCGTGTCTGCCGACTCGTCGAAGAATCACAGACGCGGAAAATTATAGCGAGTTCACTCTATTAAAACAAATATACAAAACATATGAGTGGAGTATAAATAGAGCGCAACAATACAAAAAAAAAAAGGGGGGGGGGGGGGGCGGTTTCGCTCGGATAAAGTCTGCCCCTCTGCCTTCGACACCGAACCGCCAACAACGACAAGAAGAGGCATTCCGGCCGATCCCGCACGTAGACTCCCCTAACGCGGTTTCTAGCCCCGTCGCGGGAGGGCGAGCACACGCGTGAAAGCATATTTGCACCTATAGTATATACTTTTTCCGCGCTGCCCGAAAGCAGCGAGGGAAAAGGCGACGGCTTCCCCAAGAGGGAACTTGGAAGTGAAGCCCTCCTTACGGACCCATTGCCACGTACGCACGAGCGCACGCGCGCTGCCACGTCTGCTGCCGTTCCCCGCGTTCCCCAGAAAGGAAGAGCCTTATTTCTCCCCAATATCCCCAACGGAGCCCCCTCCCTCGCCTCTCCGATGGAGCTCTCAGGTGCCGCCGAGGACCCCAGGCGCGTCTTCTTTATTAGCTGGACGTGTTCTGGTGTAGCGAAAAAAAAAAGGAAAGGACGGGGAGAAAAAAAAAAAAAGAGTGCGATATCAAAGTTGCCGACTCGACTTATGCATACTGGGAGGGTCGAAAACCTTGTTGGGTCACGAGGGTGGGCGAAAGGCCGGACAAATAATTCGGTTGTCATAGACACGCAGCGAGAGGTCCCGCGCGTGATGAGGGAAAAATGAAGAGTCGAGGAAGCGAAATGGGGGAGTGTTGGAACGGGGACTGTTCCGGGGGGAAAGAATTAGATCTGCGCCTCGGTGGAAACCTTCCGGTGGGGACTTTTCTGCCCTCTCCTGTGGGCAGTTCGCGTAAAAGGTCTCGTCCGTTTCTTTTTTTTTTTTTCACTTAGGTGGCAGAGCGCTCTGCGAGTGGTGTACCGGGATTTTTGTTCGTGATATAATTTTACAGCGGAGCTGTTCAGGGCTAGTCTCCCCAGGATCGTGTCCGTCAGCAGAAAAATTTCGACACAACACTCTGGACAGCTACCGCCCTCTATGAACGACGGCGAAAACCAGACAACCTGCTTACCGGTTGTCTGGTTGCCACCTTCGCTCATAGATGGCGGTAGCTGTCGAGAGTCCAGAGTGTTGTGTTTGCCGGCTGTCTGGTTGTCGCCGTCGCTCATTCATGGAGGCAACCTTTCCAGCCTTTGCACTTTGGATCATTTTATTTCCACCATAGTACAGCTTCGCTGGTGTTCCTTCTTTACCAGAGTAAAAAGGCTAAAAGTTTTTTTTTTCTTTTTTTTTTCGTGTATGTCCACGGAGATGTGTAGACTTTAATGACAATAACAGACCCACTCGGACGCGCGTGCCACATTCGGTGAAGTATGAAAATCGTTTCGTGTCACTCTGGCAATTTTATCTGCTTCGGGGGCGAGCGAAAGCGTGATATCTATAAATTTCTTAGAATCGATGTTAAAAAATAAAATAAAAGAAATGTTTAATATACAAAGAATAATGTTCTTGGTGAACACTCTGGAAAAGCCCGTGAATCTACTTTTCCGCAAGGCAGTATGACGCAAAAACGCAGTACGAGTTGTGACATTAAGCAATGCAAGCGTTACGTTTTGCATTACTTAATATCACAACTCAGACTGCGCTCTCCGGTCTAAACATATGTTTCGGCGTCGTCATTCGCTGAGTTAGCTCCGTAAGTTGCGCTGATTGGCTCTTCGAGTGCTGTGAGGGAAAGTAGACGCACGGGCTTTTTGTAGAATGTACGGCGAGCAAGTGTTTTAAACAGCGTTAGGCGCACATCGAAACGCAAAGAAAAGCACGCCAATGAAAGGGCAACATTGAGAACGCGTGGATAACGCACGATGACGAGCCAGCCAGGCTCGCGCCACGATTGGTTGAGGTTGGGTGGAAACAAACGCACGTGGGCGCAAAGAGCAGGCGTTTGCACGCCGTATTTGTCGCCGTATTTGTCGAAAAATAAACTCACCCGTGATCACTCGCCACAAATTATAATTTTATTTCCGACATCCTCGTGAATGTTAAGTTCGAGGTGGAACGTATACACACCTTCCAAAATAACGCTATTTTTTATTTTTATATTTTAAGGATGCGCAAGTTTTTTTTTTGTTTGTTTTTTAGCTAGTTGTCGGAAACTCTAACTACATGTTTTTTGTGTTTTTTTTTTATGTTGAACGACGCAGAATTGTGTGGGGCACAATTGTTCACCCGAAAGGGTTCGTTCATGAATGAGACATAAATGTATTGAATTTCGGATTGAACGTGTAGATTCTACACGATTACTGACTTGAGGTAAACGAAGAACTCTTAAATGAAAAATAATTTTTGTGGACAAGCTGGCTAAATACATGGATACCTGTCCCGTTACTATGAGCAACTCACACGCTTTTCTGGGAGAACGGGGATGTCAATACGGGACATAACCGATGCTTGACGTAGACGAGCTCTAAAAAAAATTTTTAAAAACAATTAGCTGTTAGAATATGCGGCGTTAGCAAATACGGTGTTAGCAATAGCGGTGTTATCAATTGCGGTGGTAAAAAAATTGGCACTAGCGAATGCGATGTTACCAATTGTGGTGTTACCGGTTGCGGTGTTGCCACTTGTGGTGTTACCAATCGCAGTGCTACCTATTCCGGTGTTAGCAATGGTAGTGTAAGCAATTTCGGTGTTAGCAATTGCGGCGTTAGATGGAGTTTACTGGTGGGAAGTTACGCTAATGAGACTCCGTTCCTCGAATGGAAACTGTATACGAAGCGGCTCCTGGCATTTCTGCCTGCAGCGGTATACGTGGATGCCACAAACACAGTGAGCGGCCTCGGAGATTCGCGGCGGCGCCAAATTAACGTGTGCACCGGAACGTTTAAGGGATGGGGAAGAGGGGGGGGGGGGGGGGGGGGGATGCGGATGTTTCCGCCACTTTGTTCGGGTCGAATGCACCAATTTGCCAACGATTAAGTCGTATACCTGCACAGTCAAATGCCATGCCCGTGATTCGAAAGTAGCTTCCGCAATGGAACGTTCTGACGACCAGTGTTGGAACGCAAGGAATTTATCTCTCTATCTCTCCCGCTCTTTCGCTTCCTCTCACGCTTTCCCGCAATTTCTTGGCAGAAAGCGAGAGTTGAACGAGAAAGATTCGAGAATAAACATCACGTTTTGTGTGTGTGTGTGTGTGTCTGTATGTTTGTGTGTGTGTGCGTGTGTGTGTGTGTTTTGCGTACAATTGGCGTTGCTAGAGCTAGACTATATTGTCGGGAACAAAGCTGGGTTCAGAAGGTTTCTAGGAGACTTCTTCACTCGCTGTCCGAAAGCGAGTATTGACGTTTAAACTAAAATTACAAAGACGGCTTTTTTTTATGTCACAATTTTCTAGGGCAGGATTAAAAAATGAAAAGTATAAGGAGTTATTTTGTGACTTTGAATATATACAAAAACAGCACCAAGAAGAAAACCAGAGGTGAAAGAGTGGACGAAACAAGCGTACGGCGTATGCGAGGTAATGCCTCTTTTGCTCTCTCTCTCTCTCTCTCTCTCTCTCTTTCTCTCTTTCTAGATCACTCAACTAAGACCGTCACAATCCATTATCAGAATCCGAGGCACTACACTACGTCTGATATTTTGAAAACTCGGATATGCACCGCCTCTGAGCCAAGCCATACAATGTATAATGACCACGTTTTTTGTGTTTTTTTTTTTCTTTCGGGACTATCTTTTTCTTTTCCTTTTCCCGTTCCCTTCTTTTTATATTTTCTTTTTTACTCGAAGAAGTTTCTTCATCTCCTCCGAACCGTTCCCGAAAAATTTCCGTCAGGGGAGGAATTCGGGAAGTGAGAAAATCCTTCCTCCGACTTGATGGCGCGCGTGATCTTCATCCCCCTCCCTCGAACGCAATCTCGTACTTTCTTCGCGCACCGAGCGCCTAAATTAAAAACTATTCAAATATCTGAGTGCGCATCATCTCCTTGTGTTTGTGTGAGTGTTTGTGCGTGTTTGCGAAAGTCCGTGCGGGCTACGCAATCGCAGTCTCGTGAGATCCAGCTGAGGGGAAAAGCGAAATTTAGTATTAATGTTATTATCATTATAAAGTGTCTCGCGGGAACGGAGCACTCTTCGTCTTCCAACTTCTCGGGGGAGAAATATGCGGTAAGCGATAATATCGCGAACGTCGACG